TTGATGACGTGGACATAGGGCCACAGACATCAGAGTGGATCAACCCCAACAGTTCAGTGACTCTTTCCCCTTTGCCAGAGAAAGGAGACCTAGACATCTTACCCTTTAGACAACACTCACAAGTTGGCATTGGTTCTGAACCCAACGGTCCAAGATATCCATCTTTGGCCATCTTGTGAATTTTTTCTTGGTAGATATGCCCAAGTTTTAAATGCCACATTTTTGTAGGATTGATATCATCCCTTGGCCTTTTAGGCCTCGATGCATCATTACCTTCTAAACAGTTAACACTACCATTCAATTGTAAATGAAAGAGGCCATCTATGATATGAGCATAACAAATTACACATCCATTCAAATATAAAGAACAACTTAGTTTGTCAAACATAACTGAGTACCCATCTCTTAAAAGCATAGAGATGGAGATTAAGTTCTTAATACAAGCCGGAAAATAAAGACAATCTTTTAATTCCAAAACCTCTCCTGATGGTAGTTTGAGAAGGTAGGTGCCAATAGCTTTAGCAGATATTCTTGTGTCATTTCCAATATGTAGCACCATCTCTCCCTTCTTCAATCTTCTACTTCCCACTAGCCCCTACAAGGAATTGCAAACATGTTGGCTAGCGCCTGAATCAAATATCCAAGTAGAAGAACTAACTGTTAGAACTGATTCAAGAACAAGAATAGTACCTCCTGAAGGTTTGTTGTTGTTCAGGCTTGCAAGATATTTCTTGCAGTTCCTCTTCCAGTGCCCATTTTCATTGCAGTAAAAGCATATTCCTTTGGGCTCCTTTGCCTTCTTTTTGGTGATTTTACCCTTGGGCTTGACTACAGTAGTCTTCTTCTCCTTTCCCTTGCCCTTGCCTTTGGTTTTAGGCTTAGGTTTAGTAGAGGAAGAAGAGCCTTTCTCAAAGGTAACCACAATCCCACTCCCACTTTTCTTTTTGAAAGTCTTTTCAGCTATGACCAGCATGTGCAGCAACTCAGCAAGAGTTTGGTCCATTTTTCCCATGTTGTAGTTCATAACAAACTGGGAGAACTGGTCTGAGAGGGATGCAAGGATAAAGTCTTGGGCCAATTCCCCATCCAGTGGAGTTCCTAAGTTCTCCAACTGCTCGATGAGTCCAATCATCTTCAGTACATGCTGATGGACCGGTGCTCCCTTGACCATCTTGGTCTTCACAAGCTCACAGACAGCACTGAATCGTCTGTTATGCATACCCTCACCATACAGCTCTTGTATGTTAGCGATCATATCAATTGCACAATCCATGTGCTCATGTTGCTTACAGCTCTTATAGGTGAGCGATCATATCAATTGCACAATCCATGTGCTCATGTTGCTTCTGAAGCTCAGAGTTCATGGAAGTAAGGATGTAAGGTGAGCGATCATATCAATTGCACAATCCATGTGCTCATGTTGCTTCTGAAGCTCAGAGTTCATGGAAGCAAGGATGTAACATTTAGCTTGTGTGTCGTCTTGTATGTGCTTAACATATTGAGCACGTTCCTCCTCAGTGACATTATCACTAGGAGGTTGACGAGGGAACGGCTTATCAAGCACGTATGCAATTTTCTCACTGATCAAAACGATCTTGAGATTTCGGAACCATGCCGGGAAATTGTGCCCCTCAAGGCAATGTTTGTCAAGAATTTTGGCGAGCGCAGTTCCAGACACCCGAATCATTGGCTTTCTAAAAGCAATCTAATTTAAATTTCTATATGTTATGTAGATATGTTTGGGGCACAATTTCCCGAAATGGTTCCGAAATCTCAAGATCGTTTTGATCAGTGAGAAAATTGCATACGTGCTTGATAAGTCGTTCCCTCGTCAACCTCCTAGTGATAATGTCACTGAGGAGGAACGTGCTCAATATGTTAAGCACATACAAGACGACACACAAGCTAAATGTTACATCCTTGCTTCCATGAACTCTGAGCTTCAGAAGCAACATGAGCACATGGATTGTGCAATTGATATGATCGCTCACCTATAAGAGCTGTATGGTGAGGGTACGCGTAACAGACGATTTAGTGCTGTCTGTGAGCTTGTGAAGACCAAGATGGTCAAGGGAGTACTGGTCCATCAGCATGTACTGAAGATGATTGGACTCATCGAGCAGTTGGAGAACTTAGGAACTCCACTGGATGGGGAATTGGCCCAAGACTTTATCCTTGCATCCATCTCAGACCAGTTCTCCCAGTTTGTTATGAACTACAACATGGAAAAAATGGACCAAACCCTTGCTGAGTTGTTGTACATGCTGGTCACAGCTAAAAAGACTTTCAAAAAGAAAAGTGGGAGTGGGATTGTGGTTGCCTTTGAGAAAGGCTCTTCTTCCTCTACTAAACCTAAGCCTAAAACCAAAGGCAAGGGCAAGGGAAAGGAGAAGAAGACTACTGTAGTCAAGCCCAAGGGTAAAATCACCAAAAAGAAGGCAAAGGAGCCCAAAGGAATATGCTTTTACTGCAATGAAAATGGGCACTGGAAGAGGAACTGCAAGAAATATCTTGCAAGCCTGAACAACAACAAACCTTCAGGAGGTACTATTCTTGTTCTTGAATCAGTTCTAACAGTTAGTTCTTCTACTTGGATATTTGATTCAGGCGCTAGCCAACATGTTTGCAATTCCTTGCAGGGACTAGTGGGAAGTAAAAGATTGAAGAAGGGAGAGATGGTGCTACGTATTGGAAACAACACAAGAATATCTACTAAAGCTATTAGCTCCTACCTTCTCAAACTACCATCAGGAGAGGTTTTGGAATTAAAAGATTGTCTTTATTTTCCGGCTTGTATTAAGAACTTAATCTCCATCTCTATGCTTTTAAGAGATGGGTACTTAGTTATGTTTGACAAACTAAGTTGTTCTTTATATTTGAATGGATGTGTAATTTGTTATGCTCATATCATAGATGGCCTCTTTCATTTACAATTGAATGGTAGTGTTAAAGTGGGATTGTGGCTGCCTTTGAGAAAGGCTCTTCTTCCTCTACTAAACCTAAGCCTAAAACCAAAGGCAAGGGCAAGGGAAAGGAGAAGAAGACTACTGTAGTCAGTCTTTTAAATCAAATGGCACCTCCCACTATTTTTGGCAAATTCCATATCCCTCAAATGGAATCCGAGAGTTTAGTTTCAACTCTTAGTGGGGATGGGAGGCTCACCACCATCAAGCTTGCCAAATCATAATAGAATATTGGTTTGCTTGAATGGTGAAGAGAGAGTACTCTTACCCATTCATATCATGATGTGATCACTTTGGCATCTAGCAAATGTGCACCCCCGAATGTTATCGTGAGGTACCATTATACTAGTTAAGTCATGCCACCATTCCTGTGAGTGTAGGGGTTCAAGCAACACCTCATCATAATAGAATATTGGCATTACTCGTTGCCTACATTCACAACATCAAATGTTTTGAAATGAGCCCTTTCAAAATAAACACATACTTTGTGTTCCCCATATTAGGGTGAAGCACGGTGTATTGGTTATAATTGATGAGGGTCCACAATGGTGGAAGGCCACAAAAAGATATTCAAAATACCTCTCCGTTTATCAACTTAATATTATTATTGGTTGAGGGAGTTTTAGGTCTCATCATACAACATTCATTTCAATCTCATTAAAATAAAATTTGGTCCTATCATAACTATTGGTCCAATTTGTTAGTAGCACATGGTACTCCCACTATTTGTTTTAGAAATCGAGGAGTATCTATCACTACTAATGAAAATTTTGCATTCTTGAATTTTGGACATATAGTTATCTTAGGCCCTTAGGATGATTATGGACTTTTAATATTTGATCCAACATGAGCCAAATGTTGGATCTTGGTCTAGGGAGGGTGATTCATTTTAGTTATGCGTTTAACTAATTAAATATGCAATCCTAATCGGGCTTGAGGCCCATCTAACTTGAGCCTTGGACTTCATCTCCTTCTTTCTTCTCCTTTAGCTTACATCATATGAAAAGCAAAGGCATGCAAGCCTTTTAACAATTACATAAGAAAAGAAAAAAGGAGTGACATGCAAGCCTCTTTAACAATTACATAAGAAAAGAAAAAGGAGAGGCATGCAAGCCTCTTTAACAAAAGAATTAAACCTTATTAATTACAAGCCCAATGAACTAATAAATCACATCCCAAGGTTCAACCTAATTGATAGTCGGCCAATCACATAGTTCGATTGCAATTTGGGCCTTAGTCCATAATCATCTTTTAAATTACTTTAATCAAATTAAAATAATTGAACTTTAGAATGCAACTTAAACATTTTGGGTTTTTAGTATATGGGCCTAGTTCAAAACGTGGGGTTAAGTATGCAATTAATTAAAGACTCAAGGACCAAACCGCAAAGTAAAGTAATTGCATAGAAGTCCAAGACAAATAATATAATTGCATGAGGATTCCAAGAGGATTCCAAGGTGGGGCCGGCCATGTGAAGTGTGTGTGTATATGTGACATGCATGAGAGTGTTGGTTTGTCCCATAAAATGATCAAACAAGCCTTATCAAGTTCCAAGGAAACATTTCTAAGACCAAGAGTGTGGTATCCCATGCAAACAAGTTCCTAGGAAAGGAAGAGGGGATAAGTAGGAAGTATTTTGGTTATCTTCACCAATAAAAATAACAACAAATTACAGATAAATCTTCTAGCTTTGCATGAGAAGATTATGACATGAGAGTTAGGCCTGGCAATGGGTCGTGTCGTGTCGAGATTTTAAACGGGTCAAAAATGATCAACCCGAACACGACCCGTTTAATAAACGGGTCAGACATCCTCAACCCGAACACGACCCGTTTATAAACGGGTTGACACGACCCAACCCATGTAACCCGTCACCTGTTCATTTTTTAATAACTAAATTAATAGCTTTAACAGTTTAATGAAACTTCCCCCAAATACAACCAAAGTAAATAATTAAATAAAAATACATATTCATCAGTTCAAGTTCAACTCCAAATTGAACAGAAAAGTTCAAATCAAGTTACAAAAGTGAATAAATTACAACACAATGACTGTATTAGAGCCCTCCACGGAACTTGTAGCATTTATTTCCATCTTGGTAATATCCTCAGTCAATTCTTCCAAGTTGGGTGCTAAAGTACAATTTTCTACAAATCAAATCATAAGGATTAAGCTGATGTTGAAAAGAAATAGATACAAGAAATAAAAATTAAAGTTTGAGCAAATATACCTTCGCCAAATATCCAGTCACGTGTACAAATTAGTGCCTCAATATTTTCAGGCTTAAGAGCACTACGATACTGATCAAGCACTCTACCACCAACACTAAATGCTGACTCAGATGCAACTGTGGATATTGGAATAGATAGTAAATCACGTGCCAAAATTGATAGTTCAGGATATCGAAATTGATTAGCTTTCCAGAAATCAAGAACATTCAACTTTGTCTTCTTGTCAACTTTGGGCTCATCCAAGTACAATTGTAACTGAGTCTTTTGGGCAGAAGTGGTAAACTCCTCACTTTCAAAGTTATCAAATTCCTAAAAATAGAACATTAATATGAGCACAAACTGTCAAATGTACATTAAACTTTTATGCATTCCTATAAAAATAAATAGTTATTTACCTTCATAACATCCAAGCATTCTTTAGAAACCATGTCATCAACATGAGAACGAGCACCACTTGAGACACTTGAAGTACCAGAAACAGATTCAGAAGTAGAATATATCCGAACGTATAAATCAAAGAGAGAAAACAACATATCACGAACTTTAGTCATTTCTTCGGAGTTGTAACCATACAACCTTTTATAACAAAATTCCACAAACTGAATTTTGTACCTAGGATCCAATATTACAGCAATGGCAAGGATCAAACGATACTATTTCCAATACTTATCGAACTTTTCCATCATTTGAGTTGCCATAAATTTCATGAAACTATCTGAATCAACCTTTGCCTTTCTCAAAGTATCCTCCACCACAAAAACTTGAGGAAAATACAGATTTGCTGTAGGGTATTTAGTTCCAGAAAACAAACAAGTCACATCATAAAACACCTTAAGAAACTTGCTAAGTTTCTCCAATTTTCCCCACTCATCTTGAGAAAGAGAATGTTTGTAATTAGAATCACTCAACTGTAAATGCAGAAATGCACGTTGATAAAAAAGGGCACTGTCAATCATAAGAAATGTGGAGTTCCATCTAGTGGGTACATCTTGGCGCAATCCCCTCTTACATTCTAAAGAAACTTGTGCAGCACAATCTAGGAATTTCTGTTTCCTCGCTTGTGAACCTCTAACATACTTAATGCTTTCCCTAATTTTTCCCACAGAATCATCAATGTGTTTCAACCCATCTTGCACTATTAAGTTAAGAATGTGGGCACAACATCGCACATGAAAAAACTTTCCTTTCAATAATAGTAGATCATTTAAATTAAGTTGCCCCTTCAACAACTCAACAAAAGTATCATTTGAAGATGCATTGTCTAAAGTCATTGAAAAAAGTTTCTTTTCCACCCCCAATTAGTCAACAACCTATAGATTTTCTCACACAATGCTTTTTGTACCTAGGATCCAATATTACAGCAATGGCAAGGATCAAACTATACTCTTTCCAATACTTATCGAACTTTTCCATCATCTGAGTTGCCATAGATTTCATGAAACTATCTGAATCAACCTTTGCCTTTCTCAAAGTGTCCTCCACCACAAAAACTTGAGGAAAATACAAATTTGCTGTAGGGTATTTAGTTCCAGAAAACAAACAAGTCACATCATAAAACACCTTAAGAAACTTGCTAAGTTTCTCCAATTTTCCCCACTCATCTTGAGAAAGAGAATGTTTGTAATTAGAATCACTCAACTGTAAATGCAGAAATGCACGTTGATAAAAAAGGGCACTGTCAATCATAAGAAATGTGGAGTTCCATCTAGTGGGTACATCTTGACGCAATCCCCTCTTACATTCTAAAGAAACTTGTGCAGCACAATCTAGGAATTTCTGTTTCCTCGCTTGTGAACCTCTAACATACTTAATGCTTTCCCTAATTTTTTCCACAGAATCATCAATGTGTTTCAACCCATCTTGCACTATTAAGTTAAGAATGTGGGCACAACATCGCACATGAAAAAACTTTCCTTTCAATAATAGTAGATCATTTAAATTAAGTTGCCCCTTCAACAACTCAACAAAAGTATCATTTGAAGATGCATTGTCTAAAGTCATTGAAAAAAGTTTCTTTTCCACCCCCAATTAGTCAACAACCTATAGATTTTCTCACACAATGCAACACCAGTATGAGGAGGAGGCATAAAACTAAAATTCAATATTCTTTTTTGCAATTTCCAATTAGCATCAATAAAATGGACAGTGAGACAAAGATAACCATCTGTGGTTATAGAAGTCCACAAATCAGATGTCAAACACACTCTTCCAGGAACTGAAATCAAAATTTCCTTAAGCTTAGCTCTTTCGATATTATAAAGACTCAACACATCAGCCTTTGCAGTATTACGAGATACCAGTTTAATATCAGCACAAACATAATTAAACAGTTTCCTAATTCCCGCATACTCAACAAACTGAAAGGGTAGGTCATGCATGATAATTGCCATCACTAATAATTCACGAAACTTGAAAGGATCGAACTTGGAAGACCTTGTTATGATAGCCCCATCAGATTTAGATAATAATAACTGGCCTAAATCACGGGTATCAGATTTCACACAAGACTCAATATGACGCTTCAAATTTCCAGTACCATATCTACTATCACACAAATATTTTTGACCACATTTCATACACTTTGCTCTCTGCTCATTATTTTCATCTACAGGCAGAATTTCAAATTGAGTCCATACCGCTGATGTAAGTTTTCTACGCCGCTTACCAGTCTGAGTTGCATTATTGTTGTTTGATGGATCTGAATCAACCACATCGATTCTAACTTCTACAACTCCACCTTCAGCACTTTCGGATACACCTTCAAAAGGATCCATTCCACCTACATGAAACATAATAATTTTATATAAAATAAATAAATCAAGCAACAAAACAGCAACTTGCGACATTAACGGATGCCCAACAACAGCAAAAAAGTCCAATACCATAAATAAATTAGAAACAACACAACAACAAAACAAAACTATTAATCTTGATGTTATTGTCTGCCAACAACAAAACAACATTACCAAAACAACAACAAAACAAAAGTAGTTCAGAAAACCACCAATGATTCACAACCAAAACAATCAGAAACCAATAGAATAAACTAAAATTGGCAAATGAAATCCGTCAAATGCAAACTAAGGCACAGGAAAAAGAACCAACCTTTGAGAGAGAGAGTCAAGCGGTAGACGGAGTAAGACCAAAGAAGAGGGAGTAAAGATGAGGCTTGGATCGGACTTGGAGAGGAGAGAATTGGTTTGGTGAGCAGATTGAGGGCTAGGCGGCTGTGTGAGTAAGTAAGTATCTGAGTGTATGAGTGAGAGGCTAGGGTTATGAAGTTAAATTATGAGTGAATGTTTATATTATATATATATATATGCGTGTTTTTTTAAGGGTTTGTAAACGGGTTAATGGGTCTGAAGCGGGTTGACACGACCCGTGACACGACCCGTTTATTAAACGGGTTAAACATGTATTATAGCGGGTTAGCGGGTTGACCCGAAATTCACCCGTTTATTAAATGGGTCAGAACGGGTTGACCCGAAATTGACCTGTTTTTTTATCGTGCGGGTTGAACCCGCTAATTTCTCGTGCGGGTTTCGAGTCGTGTAACGGGTCGAGTCGGAAATTGCCACCCCTAGGGATAAGGGAATAATCCTAAGACCAAGAGAGTGGTCTCCCATGAAAACAAGTTCCTAGGAAAGGAAGAGGGGATAAGGGAATGTTCTTTCAACCAAGGAAACAATCCCAAAGACCAATGGCACACTAGGCATGCCTATGTCTTGAAGTTCTAATTTTCTAAAAACTAGAGGAGAGCATGCTTTGACTAGGGGGACAAGTGGACATGGAATCTTGGATAACCAAGGTCAATGTCTTCATTCAAATCAAGACCAACACAAATTTCGAAATTGAATCCCACCAAAATGGATAAAAAACTAGAACACATGCATTCATCCTATGAACTCACAAGAACATTCATATGAACTCAAGAACACACATAACACAAAAATCATATTTTTAAGTGTCAAATTTCGTGGAGATGAACCAAGAGTGTGGTCTCCCATGCAAACAAGTTCCTAGGAAAGGAAGAGGGGATAAGGGAATGTTCTTTCAACCAAGGAAACAATCCCAAAGACCAATGGCACACTAGGCATGCCTATGTCTTGAAGTTCTAATTTTCTAAAAACTAGAGGAGAGCATGCTTTGACTAGGGGGACAAGTGGACATGGAATCTTGGATAACCAAGGTCAATGTCTTCATTCAAATCAAGACCAACACAAATTTCGAAATTGAATCCCACCAAAATGGATCAAAAACTAGAACACATGCATTCATCCTATGAACTCACAAGAACATTCATATGAACTCAAGAACACACATAACACAAAAATCATATTTTTAAGTGTCAAATTTCGTGGAGATGAAAGGGGCTATCAACATAGAAATTTTACAATGCTCAAGCTAGCATTGAAACATCACAAAAACCCCCAAAATCCAATATGGCCGAAACCCCCTTTTAACCATGTGTTCAAACTTTAATGCCTTCTCTTAAAACATCTATAACACTTAAAGATGCAAGACTTTTCAAAAAAAGAAACAATCAAGGTTTCACAACACATAACATTTATGTCACAAAGAACTTTTACCCATATTCATAAACAAAAATCCAAAATGGTACAACTTATCACTTGACCTTGGCTCTAGATACAATTTGGAGGAAACCTTTAGAAAATCATGAGTTTCATTTGAACATCAACATAGATAAATAAAATCATGGCAACGGAAGCTTAAGCATGCATCTATGAGTTCAAAAACAAAAACTTTTTCCATGAATCTTTTAAGCCAAGTGATAGTTGTACTACTTTCCTAGAACATACTTCTAGTAAGATTGGAAGGAGGAGTTACCCTTGGTGCGTGCTTTCAACCCTATGATCGAATTCCACCAAAATTGTTGAAGCTTGAATGGCTCCTTCAAAATCTCCACCTTGTTGTTGAAGCTTGAATGACTCCTTCAAAACTTCAACTTAGGAGGTTCTCCAAAAGTCACCAAAATAGGTAACCTCTAAGTCTCTTCACCAACTAGAGCTTGAGAAGAAGATGATGAGCTTAGTGAGAGGATGATGCTAGTGATCCCTCACTAAGATGATATGAAAGTGTAGAGAGAGTTTTTGGAAGACTAGAGCTTTCTTTCTCTCTCTTCATTTTCACTAATGAACCCTT